TTTATTGAAAATTTCTTCAGGGCTTGGGAGAGGATAGTGGTGATCTTGCAAGGCATCGTTTAACCCTGTGGAAAAATCTGCGCATACTCGTATTTGATTGGACTTCTTTTTTACGTAGACCGTAGATGCTGCCCACTCGTTGAAACCTGTTTTTGACAGAATACCTGCTTGTTCGAGTCTATCTAACTCTTTATTAATTTGCTCTAGAGCAGCGAAAGGGACATTCCGTTTCTTTTTGAATACCGGTTGTGCACCGTCCTTCACCTTGAACTTAGCTTTCATTTTAGTACATTTCCCAAGGCCGCCAGAAAAGACCTAGGGAAATTGTTGTTTGAGTTCCTTTTTTAGATTTATCAAATTGGACGTTGTACTTTATATCTTGCGACAAAATGTACTCATTGTGCAATCCCAAAGATTGAATTTTTCTATCCAATCTGTTCCAAATAAGTTAACTGAAGTTTTCAAAACGTAGGCTTTGAGTTTTTTAGTAACTCCATTTAGTGTTACTGTAAGTATTACCTCACCTAAAATGTTAATCTTTTCGCCAGTTACGGATTTTTCTGTTTTATCCGTTTTAATAAGGTCGGCTTGTTCAATTTTCGCCAAGTACGCCAGTTAATGGTTGAAAGATCCGAACCCGAGTCAAGCTGGAATTTAATGGACTTATTGAAAATATCCACAGTTACATATTTTCTTAAATTCTTATCAACAATATCGTCAGCTTGAGCTTGCCTAATTTTATTTTTGGGTTTTCTCGTTCTGTTGGCGTACCAGCACGAAGTTAAAGTATGCCCACTTTTATTGCAATTTTTGCAATATTTTTTGTTCTTAACTGGACAGAATTTCATCCAATGCCATTTATCACAATGGTAACATGGTCCGGGCGGTTTCTTTAACCTATTTGGGATTTGGTTGCTGCGTAATTTAGGACATGAGATTTGCCTTTTGTCTTTTTGAGGGGAATAGGAAGTAGACTTACTTTTGATTTTATTAATCTGAGTCACACCTGATTCCTCGATAGTGTCACGCTTTACAGATATTACTCTTTGACAGTCCTCTGCCAGTTTTTGGAGAGTCAATCCTTGTTCGTTCTCAAGCTTGGTCAGTACCCATCGTCTGACTTCGGCGTCTTCTGCTGATACTAGATACTAGATACTTGTGCGAAAACTAAGCACTTGAAATCATCGGCAGTCAGTTCGGCTAGTTTAAAATCATTACATAGCTTGTTTACCGATGCTGCAAACGTTAGAAAATCTTTCTGGTTGTCTTTGACTGTGTTCAGGCATTTCAACGTTTTGTGGAACAAGGTTGTGTTAGGGCCCGAATAGTTCCGATAGGAGCTTAATAGTCTCTGAAAAATCCAAGTCAGTCGTTTTCTTGGGTAGTATGAAGTCTACAAACCTACTATGTTCTGTAGTTCCCAGTTTTCTCAATAGTAGACGTACCTGCTTTTTACTGGACCATTTTTCACAGTCTACGTTGAAAATATCTTCGTAGCGCCTGTAAAAAGTGTCGAACGTTTTGTCGTTCTCTGGTACGTATTCAAAGGTTTCCATTGAATTGTAGATTATACTCTGGGAGAATATTGTATCTTTTTCAGAGTTTGAGCCTTTTAATGCATTTACGAGTAATTCTTTAAGTTGTTTTCTGTTGTAGTTCGGCATTCTGAAGCGAAATTTTTGGAATTCCCTTTGTTGTTTATGTAATTCCAAAAATAGTTGTTGTTGTCTTTCTTCTGATTTTTGTTGCTGATCCAAATTTAGTTTTAACATTTGGGCAACTGCTTTTTGAAAATCTTCCATATTTAAAAATGACAGTGATTTTTTGTTGCTTTGAAACACGTGTACTAAGAGGAGGTACACAAAAAAATCTTGATAGGTTTTTTCATTTACAAAAAAAAATATAGAGACAGACAATTAGTTAAACTAAACTAATTATGTGTTTAGCTTTTTTGAGATTCCGTGGTTCCGTTAATTTTAACGTAATTGAATAATTTTTCACCACACTTATGTATTTTTTTTTTAGAAAGGTACAAAAAGAGAAAACTCACCTCAGTGAATTTGAGGGGAGAATAATTTTATGCCCGAATTCAACTCAGTTACATAAAAATTTTTCGATAGTTTTTTCGAAAACTTGAGTACAATGGTAGTACTTCTGCTTTTTTTTCGCTGTGTGTGAGTGTGTAAGAAATCGTTCTTGTTATTTGGACAGACTTTAATATTCCGTCGATGTCGAAACACTGCTCGTCACTGATGTTTGGTATTGGAATATATGTAGACGCTGGATTTTTAGCTTTTAAATCGCTAATATAGTAATACCAGCTTAATTTCTCGTTCAACACTGCTGTGGAAACGCGTGGAGTTTGTGTATTTTTCGAGTACTGTCGCTATTGATTTGGTGAGAACGAAATTCTCGAATCTTTCTGTCACCACTGTTGTGGGACTGGAAAAGTATTGAGGTTTTCGACGTGAATGCGTTTGTCGAATTCTTCGTCGACCCAGATGTGGGATTGGTAAGGTATTTATGTTTCGCCGTGAGTGTGTTTCTAGAATCCACGTCGCCACTGATGTGGGGCCAAAGTTAGGACCACAGAAGGAAAACACGGAACACGGATTAGATGTAAGAAAGATATATTAACAACAGCTTACTATATGTTATTGTCCAATACTGGTAGTCGTACGCGACTCTCTATGTCACTCTGACTTTCTCTGTCCCTCACTGTCTCTCTCTATGTCACTCTGTGTATGTCACTCTCTAGAGTGCTATGTCACCTACTTAATATAGGCCTGGAAGAGACTATTGTGTAGGTAGTTTCCGGTCTCACAATAGTATCTTTAATCATTTCTAACATACAACAGTTTAAAGCTTAATCTAACAATTGAATAATTTTACTGTTACACGATTTCGTCAATCTTGCAGCTACATCCGGTATATATATATATATATATATATATATGGGAAAACAATATTTAAATTTAAATATATCAAGAACAATTTTGAGGTCGCGCCATCTCATTTCACTAGAGATCGAATATATATATATATATATATATATATATATATATAAATACGACACACATACATATATATATATATATATATATATATATATATATATATATATATATATATATATATAAAACACACACACACATACATATACATATATATACGACACACACACACACATATATATATATATACGACACACACACACACACACACACACACACACACACACACACACATATATATATATATATATATATATATATATATATATATATATATATATATATATATATATATAATGTTCTATGTGCAAAAATTCCTTCTATTGCATTTCTCGCTTGTTAAACTCTCTTCCGGTCTCTTCCTTTCCAGTTGAATTTTATCTAAAATTTAAATGCAATGGCAACTGTTATCTTTGTCTTTTTAATTCCTGTTCTTTTTTGTTTTTATCTCTCACTATCTATCTATCTATCTATCTATCTATCTATCTATATATATATATATATATATATAGTTTTATTCTATGCTATATTTACGGGATAAATTGCTCAATATCAGAGATAGAGTATATGTAAATATAAAATATAAAAGTGAACATTGAAGTGAACACTCCTTGAGGTGTTTTGAAACCCTTAGGATATCCGATAAACATCTGCAGCTTCCTAATTTGGTCTGAATTTTGGAAGTATTTTGAATCGGAAACATTTACACATCTTCGTCAAATTTATCTCGTATCCAAGAATTTAATTTCTTCATTTCTGAGCTCTTCCTTTAAGATGATGGCGTTGATCACTAAAAAGACCCAGTCTTGAATAGAAAAGCCGATGGCATTGACTTCATAGTAATGTTGGTGGAGGACTAGATCGATTTTGTCGAGCCCTCCTTGATTTCTTCCTCTTCTCTTCTGGTGGCTTCGAAGATTTTGGTTCCGATGCTGATGGACCATTCCCAGTTGGTTTTGGTCTTGTGCTTCTGTTTCAAACTATTTACGCTCAAATCCAGTGGCTTTCAGTGTTGTTTTCAGTTGGTTCTTGTATATTCGAAGACGGCAGCCCATTGACTTTTCTCTGAAGTGAGCTCACTGAATAAAACTAAATACACACACACACACACACACACACACACATATATATATATATATATATATATATATAATTTATTCGAAAATTATAAAATAAATAAGTTATAAAATCACTACAAAAATAACCATTTTGTTTCAACACTTCTAGTGTCTTATGAAGTGATAGTGTTGAATGTAGAATCAACGATTCGATGTTTTGACTGTTGGCTCTTTCCAGAACTTTGGTGTTGATCTCGCCCGACCAATTACGACTGACTAGTGAGTCTGATCCTCATTGGGTGCCCTATACTCTCGGCCTTGTGCCACATATAAGCTACGCCTAGAAAATCATTTTGAAGCACCTCGATGCGGTGTAATCGTTAGCAAGCTTCTCTTACTAGAACAATTACGACTGAGTAGTCAGTTCGATCCTCACTGGATGCCCCATACTTTCGTGCCAAATTTAAGCTACGTTTGGAAAATCACTATACTTTATATATTTATACACGTACACACAAGCACAAGTGGTTAGAATGTTCTTATTCTGACCAAGAGAACCGAGTTCGAATCTTGCCATGGTTGATTTGTCAGGAAGAAGCTTTTCCTGATGTTACGTGCGGCACCTTTGGAAAGTGCCTGAAAAACAATACTACTGGGTAGACGGATCCCTTGGGAGCCTTTGATAGATGTGCTAGCACGAAGTCACAAGTCATCGTGGCCGAGAGATTGAGCGTGCTGGCCTTGTTCAAATTGTTGGTCACGCTAGATAACACAATCTTTCCCAGAAACTGTAACTAAGGTCTATTCAGCATAATTGCAGTATAAAGCACAGGTGGGCTCTGTGAGTGTTGAATAAACACAAATGCGCCTGAGCAAGCGTCTGCAATAAGGATTGGCTTGTATGGTATCCTCGAATAAGAATGGGCAGCTATACATAGATAGATAGATAGATAGATAGATAGATAGAAGTGTGTGTTTGTCTAAGCGTCTACATACGATAGATTGTGTACAGATCTGCTTAGAAACATCACGACGACAAATTTGACGAAAGAAAATATAGGAAGACTTTATTGCGCCAATCATCTAAATATTGAGGAGTTACTCGCTTCGAAATCGTAACATTTGCTGGTTACTAACAACGATTCTGTCTGTAAGAAAAATTAAATGAATAAAGAATTTATAAAATAGATTTTAAAATCCTGAATGAATTCCAATAAATCTATATAGATTCCTTTGTTGTGGAAAAATGAAGAACAGGACAATCGTGTTATTAATCTCATCTTTACGAAATATCATATAGTATTTCGCGATATTTATCTGTAAGGGACGTATGGTAAAAGTGGAGGCGTCCCCATAAATACTTGTCTCACCCCCTCCATCACCAGCGAAAGAAATGTCAGCTTCTACAGTGATGGAAATGAATGAATGCTGTGCGTCATCGGTAGAATGTCATTCCTACTGAACTGGGTGTGACGCCAACTGTTCACGATAACGTCCACCTTATTTGACACGCTCCTAGTGTCCGAGTTCTTTTGCACTGATCCAGTTCAGTCGTACACTTCGTAACTATACCGCAAATACACAATTTATGATGACTGAAGAAGGGCCTCCAAATTATCTCGAATCGAAACGTTGTAAAGAAATAAAGATATTATTTTTAAAAATGCATTCAGTATTATTTTTTAGATTATATATCCGTTTACGTGTTCGATTTCCAATGCAAAATTATATTAAAATCATTTTCAGTCGAAGTCTGCAGCAAAATTATTTTCAGCTTATTACGATACTAGAGCCATTTTAAGACATTCTATAGTGGACTATTTTCAGAGCTTTCCTTGGAATAAAATACTTTCAGTGGAATAAGTATTATAAAATTATTTTCAATGCATTCATGTAACTATTTACAATACCACCTTGTTTTGGTTTAGTTTGGGTGATTCTTTTTAGCGACATATCAACCTTTATCGGTTATTTAATGCCGAAATATAAATATTTTTTCCTGAAATTTTATCAGGTATATATTTTGAACGCAATTTTATGCCTTCAAATACAGATATTTTGTACATAATTTATGCTTTCAGGTCAAACTTATATATTTTAGATAATTCGTAGATGACAAAATGTATTGTTGGGAATATTTTTTTAAAAATGTATTCCTGTTAATTTCAGCATAAAACTTGTTGCTCATTTTTTTCATAACATTGTATTACTGGTAATTTTTTAATATAAAAATATACTTTCATAATTTTTTAGTGTTTTATTGATTCTCCCTTTGATATAAAATGTATTGGTAGTAATGTTACTACAAAAATGTATTGCTTGTAATTATTTAATATAAAAATGTACTTTCATACTTTTTTAGTGTTTTATTGATTTGAACTAAGGAAAGTTGGCTCCCTGTGCCGCGCCAGGAAATTTTTCTCCCCGGAATCGATCCTCCAGATCTACAAATCAACAATTCGCCCTTGCATGGAGTATTGCTGCCATATATGGTCTGGAGCCCCTTCTGTTTGCCTCGGGGTTCTTGATAAGCTCCAGAGGCGGATATGCAATATAACTGGCCCTGATCTGGCATCTCGTCTACAGTTACTTTCTCACAGACGCGCCGTTGCCTCTCTCTGTCTGTTTTACAAAAACTTTCATGGCAATTTCTCCAAGAAGCTGCATTCGCTGGTTTCCAGACTTCATGAGTTCAAGCGCCCGACGAGGCTGGTATCCCGTTCTCACCCCTTCACTGTCGAAACTCCTAAATGTAGCCGTCTCTTCTACTCCAATAGCTTCATGTCTCGCACCTCTCGCCTGTGGAACTCCCTTCCCTATTCCAGTTTCCATGAGAGCTATAATCTCCAGCTATTCAAGTGTAATGTCAATCGACATCTCCAGTTGCTTTGATCTATCCACTACCCTTCTCCTCATCCTTTCTTCTATCACTCTTATCTGAAAGGTATTCGTTGGCGATTGGGAATACAAATGAAGACACTCAATAAAGTAAATGGGGAGGGAAAGGTGAAACGCAGTTAAAAGAGACATTTTAATTACACGCAATTAAAATTGAACGCGGGTGAAAATAACAAGTTCCACAAGAGTATAAAATGGAAAAAGAGACACTCACAAACCCTCCAAGAACTGCAAGGAACGGAAAAAAATGTTTCTTTTGTCTACACAGCTTCGGTTGATGAGACTTTATAAAAACAGCTTCCAAGACTCGGAGATGGTATACTGTGCGAGCGTTGCGTAATACTGAAAACCAAGCGTCTTCATATACAGAGGCACAAGCATGGTTGTCGAGCAAATGCTGAGCGATAGCAGATTCATGGACCGCCTGAGTAGTTCTTCTTATAGACTGGCTAAGACTACCAGAACGCAAATAGGCGGGAACATGCTGCGCAACCCGCGTCTCCAACCTCAGATTGGTTCGTCCTATGTACACCGCGTCACAACGGCATTTGAACTTGTACACAACTAAATTTTTCTTAAAATAGGACAACCTATCTTTAGTAAAGGACGGGAACAAAGGTCTAGTTTGAAAAACTGTACGCAATTTAACAGCATTAGAACAAGACGAAACAGACGCTGAAATTCTGTCAGAAAACAACTGACATTTTCTAACAAGCCAAGGTAATTTCAAATAGACAGGGCAACCTCTAGGTTCAAAAAACCACAGGTTCCTTAAACCACCTGATTTTGGTATCAATAATACGCCTGATATATATATATATATATATATATATATATATATATATATATATTGAGCCTCTGCCCTCGTGTATGTATATATATATATATATATCTATATATATATTGAGCCTCTGCCCTCGTGTATATATATATATATATATATATATATATATATATATATATATATATATATATATATATATATATATATATATATATATATATATATATATATGCCTCTCCTGTATATATATATATATATATATATATATATATATATATATATATATCCGAGGGCAGAGGCTCAACATAGGAAAATAATACTGAGAGGTGCCTGGCCCTACGGAACAGCCGCCTGAGGCTGTATCCTCTTATTGAACAAGAGAGAGGAATCGGTGCTCAAGGGTTGCGGGGGCAGGAGGAATTTTGTCCTTTGCCCGGAAGTACACTCTCAGGTTACCCACAATAAACCAGGGCTTGTCACATCACGTCTCAGTGGGGAGACGAGGTATATATATATATATATATATATATATATATATATATATATATATATAAGAAATAAAGTCTTAAGGTGTGCTTATGGGATAAAGTGTCAATATCAGAGATAGAGCGTGTGTAAATATAAAAGTGAACATTGGGTCAACACTTAGAGGCGACAGTCTGTTTCATGCTAGATGCAATCGTCAGCCACTCGTGGCCTGACGATTGCATCGTATGTATTTGTGCATATATATCTGTTTGTGCGTGTGTGTGTGTGTGTGTGTGTGTGTGTGTGTGTGTGTGTGTGTTTGTATGGTTTCACAAACAATTTATTTCAATTTCAAACAACAAACTACATTGTTTCTCCTTCAAAGTAATCCCCCCTCCACTTTTCTATCCTTTTCTGCCACGCTTCTATGCCCTGCTAGGTGACCCTCAGCTTCGCTGTTAAGGCCGTCTTGATGGCATCGATACCTTTATAACGGGTACCCCCGATGATCTCCATGAGCTCCGGGAAAAGAAAAAAAGTCACACGGAGGAGGATCTGGCGAATAGGGAAGCTGTTCCTTTACAACGGACAGGAAAAGGCGCGGGTAGTCAGGTCGTTGCGAGCAGGTGCAATGTCGTGTTGAAGAAGACTCGATTTGTCCTCCCACACCTCATGCATGTGAAAGAAACAAAATGCAATTGTTGCAGAAAGCTAAGATTATAGTTAGATGTCCCCCACGACTCGCTGGTAGCACCTGTATTTTGTCCCGCTTATGGGCAAATCCTGAACACCTAAACACATCAAAACACTATGAAACTATAAAAGTACAATTTTATAGTAAAAATACAAGCAATATATTCTTATGAAAAACAATTACCAACAATATATTTTTATAGCAACATTATTAACAATAATTTTTTTTCACCCTAAGCAAGGCGAGAAGCAACTAGGACGCAAGGGGTTACAGATATATATATATTATTAACTGCACATATTTTTAATTTAATTTAAAATATGCCGCATTTAATCTATTTCATAAATTAAAATTTCTTTCTTTACGTTAGGGTACAAAACAGAGCAGATATGGATGTTTCTAGAATTGACAGAGAATGGAAGTTCAAAAGCACTATTTCAGGTTTTGTTTAACCGAAGCCCTACGTGGCCGATTCTGCGTGGAATATATATATATATATATATATATATATATATATATATATATATATATATATATATATATATATATATATATATACTTGACTCTCCTGTCGAATTCCACGTATGAGGGCAGATCAGTTCCCAGGAAACCGACAGCCCGACAACAGCACATGAGATTTGATTATAGTGGTGAAGGTTTCGTGCAGGACCATCCAGACTTTTTCAAGGGTCGAATACAGAGACCTGGTGCACTACGTGCCACAAGGTCCCCAAACGACCCTCCGCAGGTTTTGAATTCAGAGTTGTCCTTCTCCTAGACTAGTTGCCATCCAAGGCTATATATATATATATATATATATATATATATATATATATACAAAATTAGGTTGAAGATGAAACAGAACTAATGCTTTTAATTTAATTATATAGTTGAATTTGAAGTTTTTAATTTCTGTTTTTGAATCAGGGTAATTCCTGTGTGGCGATGAAACCATGTTTTTAAATCAGTTATTTTATAATATATATATATATATATATAGTATGAGAAATTGTAAAAAAGGTTTTGTGACGCGTTTTTTTCCAATATCATAATATTTTTATAAATACTGTTTGTTGATATATAAAATTATACAACATTATATATATATGTGTGTCTGTGTGTGCATGCACGTGTGTGTGTGTGT